CACCCTAATTCTTCGCTGCGCGAGACGGTATGTAACCAACCTCCACGACTAGTTCCCACAGAGTCTGGCGGTGATTCCTCAAGTAGAAAGCCCTCCTCTGGCTCGCCCTCGGAAGAGACTACTCCCCTCAGGAAGTCGTATGCCCTTTCAGCTATATTTGGCGTGTCTAGCTCAAGCGCAGGTCGAACATGACCGTCCTCATCCTCGACACCTCCGATGAGTCGGCTACGAACGCTAAGATTTCCGAAAACGTGATCCTTATGGACGTAAGGGTTCCAGTCGAGTGTCCGCTTTTCGGCTGTACCGTTGAATCCGCCGGTAACAGTATGTACAACGTCAATATGCAACGCTAGCAGTGAGCCATCTGGTCCGATGCTGGCGTATTCGGTGATTGTGAATGTGATTGTTATGTGTCGGAAAGCGCGACGGATAATCCAATTTAGGCATTGCTGCAAGCCGTCTTAAGTGAGTTGATGCTCCTCAATATCATGTTGACCGATAGATGACTGAAGGAAAACCATACCAGCTTCATCATGGGTTCAACATTCGTTGATAGACATTTCTCCTATAACAGCCGTCTATTCAGTCAGGCCCCGCAGGAAAAGCCGAAGAGCACGAACCATAACCCAATTTCCTGTCAAGTTTAAGAGCGGGAGAGGTTTTGTGGTAGTCATGATTAATCTGCAGAAATCTTGTAGACAAGACAACGCTTGGGTGGCCAGATGTTGTTCGACGAGAGATTAAGACAGGCCAAACATGGGATGTGTGGGAGAAAAGGTATTCGTTCGAATGAAGATATAAGACTCGACGAGTTTATTAAATATATACCATCTTGGTGTTCTGCACATTGGAGGTATGTTGTCTCTGAAGTGCAATAGTTGTGAGTCAAGTAATGGCCAAGTGGAACTCGGCACAAGAAGAGCTGCAGACAATGACTGGCTTTCTTATTCTCATGCCTATAATTGGTATTCTGTTTGTCCATTCTTTCTTTTTCTTTCCCTGATGCACCGGTATGTCGATCTTTGACAGCCCCTAGATTATGATAGTTATTGATTTTCTGCAAGGGGTGGCGAGAGCTACACACCGGGACTCCACTGTCTGCATGCCATAAATAACACAGTATTTTCATACTGGTCATATGCATGAGAAGGTTCACTCACCTGTGATTGTTGCGGAGTGCCTCTGCTGCATATAATGGAGTTCGCGTTCATTGGGTACAGAATCGCTAACGCGAGATTTTCACTCCACTAGGAAGAAGGTTGCCTTCTTGTAGAGGTCATTTTCGCTCTCCCGTGGACAACTCACTTCCGTCCACAATATATAATGATAGACCTTTCAGAGATCAAACACTCTTCTAGATGGTAGACAGCTCATAGAGATATTTTACCAGGTAACGCTTAGCACTTCGGCGGAATCTGGTCAAAAAATGACCCATCATCTGGTTCGTGCTTATGTAGAAGTTGGTGTTTCATTGAGACAAAAACAACAATTGGCAGTATGGCTTTTCACATGACGCCATGGCACCCGATGGAAGCATGCCCTTACTTGCATCCATGGACAGTCATAAAAAGAGTATACTGACCGCAGACAATGTGAAGAAAAGGAAATGAAATGGTTGGCAGACAAATGCACTATACATATTCAGCGCCACGAAAGAGAAACCCCAACAATGCCAGTTAGCCCAGACCGTGCATAAAACCAAAGAATCACTGCTCAATACCCTTCGTCCTAGATCTTATCTCGTCCATTTTCCCATGCAGCTCATCAATCTTGCTACTCAATTCAGTTATCCTTTCACTAGTGGTGATGTCTGTCTCGGTCGCTTCCGACTCCAGCTCCCGAACCTCTCCTTCCAACTTGCGCGCTTCGCCACGAATCTGAAAGTATAGCCGATACTCGCTAGGGTCGAAACAAATCCCATACCCTTCGCAATAACAGGTCGTCTCAACCGGGCAGAACTCTGGTTGCCCCGTAAATAGCCAATGCCATACATATTCCCAGACTCTCCCAGATAATCGATCATCGAGCTCAGTTGCGAGAAGCCAATGTCGGAATTCAAGGTAGCGTTCCTGAGGGATCTTTCGAATCTGATTTGCGCTGACAGCGAACTGTGCACAGCAAGGTTGTGAAAGAACTGATGGAACCGGGCTACCAGGGAATAGCTGACCCCATGCCATACCGATAACGGCAGCTTCGGGGACGTTAAGAATGTCATCAGAGTCCTTTCCGATATAAGGATGAATATGGTCGGGGCATCCTGGGTCAAGATGACAACGGATATTCATATAACCATTGTCCAGTATATATTGACTTCTTAAGCGGCGGACCATTTTAGCTGAATCGAAATCAAGGAAGTCGTTATTATGCCAGGTAACCTGGTGAGCATGCATGAATATTGAAATATCGCTGAGGCTGTGATAGTGATCGATTATATAGGTTAAATATACCATGACCTCGTGACCTTTATTTAAGGGAACAGTGAAAGGTGCACTGGTATTGTTATCGACCACATAGACAGCGCTAGTAAGATAAGGGTCGTCCCGGACAAGGCTGTCGACCCATAAGGTATCCTCTTCTTGTAGTTTGGCAATCACAAGTGTGCGCGTCGCATTTCTCTCGACTCGTGATCCTGATGGATGGTATGTTGCGTTGTCTTTGGGGACCTCTTCTGGCTCCAGACTGTCGGGCTCTTGCGGCGTCAGATCGCTGTTGGTGGGTAAAAATGCAGGGCCGTGCTGTCCGGACAGATACAGAAAGTACGTGATTATTAGTAGAATAAGAGCAGGTATGGCAAGCCAAAGGACCCGCCTGCACTGCTGCATAGTAGTGGTCTGTTGGATTAATTTTTAAAGGAGTGACTGATTTTAAGAAAGAGGTCAGTCGTTCTGTGTCTTCTGCGGCCGAGTCTGAAATGGGGCGAGACATTGAGACAAAATCAGACGGGCTGTCAAGATGAAAGGCCCACGAGACATCCCTGTGTCCCACTTCGAATGCGACGGTGTATGCAGAGTCCCTACGCCGCTGGTACATAGCCAATTGGACCCTCGTGGACCCTGACCCAGCACTCTATGCTAGTAAGCCTTGGCAGCGCTTAGGGCTAATGGTTATCAGATCCCTGTTCAACAAGAAATGGGAGACCCAACATAATAAGGGGAATCTCAGAGTCTTAGTTATATGATGGATATCGTTCTGCCGTGCTTTTGACTCACCCTCCCCCGGAGTCATTTTGTCCTTTACATCTACAGTCAGTACCTAATAGATAATAATAGGAAAAGGATGTCAATATTTGTTCGAGAGCTTCCTTCTCGGCTTGGTTCTCTAGTCGATACCATGTCTTTCCGCGATGACATGACACATTGCAAGTAGTGAGACGGCTCCTAATGACTAACCCTGCCTGCATGTATCATACAATTATTTTCAAGTTCATTCTTTCGCTCTAGACTCGATAGAATTTAGCCTTGTATTACGTTAAGGCTACGCAGATCAAGCAACAGTACAAGGTAGTGACATTACTTTCTAGAAACCTTGTATCAATCAAATTGTAGGTTTCTGTAAGCTGTGTAGCAAAGATTGACGCAAGTATACATATCCTTTTGTTCAACCCTATGTATAGACGGTTAGGTTGCTGTAATCATATAGAGTATATATATGACACTAGTCACTCGTTTGTCGTATGCAAGGGCTATTCTATGCCAGACTGTTGCCAAGTAATTACGCTCCTTAGAGGTCAGATAACAGAGTTTATACGAAGACATATCACTATAGTATCTCCACAAGCACGCGCCAGCTATGCTGACTGAGCCGTCTACTGCTCATTCTTCTCTTGTCATGGACGTATATGGATGACAACAGTGACTCAAGTTGTCTGGAACAATAACCCAACGTAACCAAGTGTGCATGTTTTCCCTACCCCCTGCTTGTTCTTCCAGCCACTCGAGGAGTTTGCCTACCCGACGCGACTCCTCGTGCATAGACCGCAATATCCGGTCACAGAAGTCCTCAACATCGTAGTTCATTACCGCTTGGATCAGTTCTAGCATTGTAAGATCAAGACAATCCGAGGGAATATGAGTTTTTTGAAGCTCATAGAACACGACCACATGGAGGAGGACGGAGACCAAGCGTTGCTCTTCGAACCATGTCGGCGGACCTAAAAGCACTCCTTTCGGTTGCTTTGAGGCCGGCCCCACCACAGGTCTGGTATTGAAATATCCAATAGCAGGCGTGTGTAAGCGCGACCGTGAAGACGGGCCCCTATATGCCAAGCAGCGAGCAACAGAAGGGTGAAAGCATGCATGCACAGGACGTTGCATTCGAGTCATCAGAGCAAGAAGTTGACAGAGAATGCCCGGCGGTGTTGATTCAGGTATGATCCGTTCTCTGGTCTTAGACACCGCCAAGGGTGATTCCAGGTCTGGAAAGCCTATGCAATCTCCATATAATTGAAGCAGAGACTCGAACTCTGAATCCCACACTGTGGCCTGGAAGCTCTGTTGGGATCGCAGCTGGTGTGTCCAGCTGGCGATTAAGACTTTTATAGAATGCAGAACTTCCGGCAGCAGACCTCGTTTCAGGATTGGTTTTGTGATAATTGTGTCAACAATTACTCTGAAGAGAACATCGTTCTCGTGGAGGAATGCTGCTATCGCTGGAGATGCATTGTGGAGGCTATACAGCGTAGACAGATCGGGGATACTGCATAGTATCTCGCGGAGGACGAACCACGGAAGTCGGCTAAATGGGTCCATTTGTAAGCTAGAGTGACGACCCGCAAGGATTCCTTCTAGAGGTTGTCTAAATCATGCCAAAAACCAAAGTCCCACCCCGCAGTGTTTTGTTTTGGTCACACCGCCTCGCTGGAGCGAGTTGTGTGGGGTCAACATTGGCCTACGAAGTCAATATCTTGGTTGGTTGCCTTGATTCCGCAATGCGGACTTTGAAAGAAATTGACTCTTTGAGTTATATGTCCAGCCAGTGCTGCCGCGGCAGCGTCTCCTCAACCCCCGATGGTCTAGTTGGATATGACGTTTGGCTGCAATAGAACATTCTATGTAACCAAAACGTAGCTGGCTCGATTCCGGCTCGGGGGATGAGATATCTCTTTGGCTTTTTTTTCTATCAATCCGGGTCGGGTTCTGATGGAAGAGTTATACTACAACTTGTACTCTGCTGGCAAGACTATCCGTGTACACAACATATTTATTATACCAAGGCAAACCTTGCTATAATTATGAAAATGACAAGTATGAATCCAAACACAACTGAAGTACCAAACTATAACCACTCCCCCTCCACTCACAGCCAGTTATTCCCTTCAAACAACCCCCGAAACCCGCGTCACAGGAACCGTGAAGCTCTTCGCGGAGTCGGTAATATTGGCATCGCCATGAGCGGTATATCTAGCTTCTCCTTCCGTCCAAGTATGTTGTATGTGCAGGCTGAACATCGTGTCCTCACCAGGCACAGCCTGCAGTTTGGCCTCCGTGCTTTTGTCTTGGCACGGGGTATAGTCCTTCTCGGCAGGAACGCCAGAGCAGGAGGTTTTGAACTTGGAAGGCCCGGTGGCAGTGCTCACAATGTTGAAGTTGTAGTTGCAGTCTTCTGAGCCGCAGGTGATGGCGAACTCGGATGCCTTCCATTCAATTGGATTCTTGAATGTGTCGGCAAGAGTAAATCCGAGGAGGGAGAGACCGATGGCGAGGGTAGCGTGGAAGTGCATGATGGAGGGATATAGATGTTCTTGATAGGAAATTATGAATAAAGAAGTGAGAGCTATGTGATAGCGACAGATAATAAGGTTGGATCAAGATATCGGTAGATTCGATGAATGAATTGAGGTATACAGACCAAGAAGGACTAAATGCGACGAATACAAGGTCATTAAATATTCCAACATGGCGTCAGTAGAATGGTCCAAATGCAACATAGTAGTACTCTGAAACATCTGGAGCAAGTATTCAAAACAGTGATATGAAGTTTGTTCGAGGGTGGAGCTGATCTATTTTGTGGACGATTAGACTTTGTAGACGGTCCAATTTTGTGGATGGACCCGCCCTACGCAGATGGACTGGACATGACAACAACATGGTTACATTCATGGTTTGTGGAATGACTATTGTTAATTATTAGTCTTGGAGTGGAGTTCCATATTTAGTTCCTTTTGGTTTCATGGTCAAAGTGAGGGGGGTGGCCCTTTACTATATGGAGAATAAATCGGGCGATATACTTGACTCATGGGAACGAATATAGCATCGCTTGGGTTACACTGTATCAGACATTTAATTGACATGATTGCGATTCTTTGAAACTATCTTCTCGTACATTCGTAAATCCCGCTGTAGAAACGGCGTATACCAGAGCTTCAGGGCAAAGGCGGAGCGAACCACAATTGTCAAGCGTCAAACCCATATCCAACACATGACTACTACCTATTGATGCTTCAGTGCATACGTAAGACGATCCCTGAGCTCGATATGTATTACTTATCTACGAGAAGGCAGGACTCGTCTAACATCATACCAACTAAATGTCATTAGCATGTCGTTCAGACAAAAGTGTAGTCAATCAATACCCCAATTACATCTACTCAGTGGAGATATATGAGCAGTAGGATATTCTAAAAACCAGATCCTATTATGGAGATCAAATAAATTTAGAAACATACTGCTAACATGGAACATCCATTCATAGAAACTAGAATCGAATGTGGAATATACTTCACGAAGGACTCATTTCGAGGCATGTTCGAAACACAACCATGCTAAATATAGCACTTCGCACGGTCACAGGCACAGATGTTAGGGTCTGCTGTATATTGACTAATACTTTTGATAGTAATGTGAGCAAAACGACGGGATGAACATCGTGGCACATCATTTAGAGGGGCTTCCAAATGTCTACTGCAACTAGTTTGGATATACGGTGATAAGAGACAGATAATCCTTTTGTACCATGCCAGCCAGTTAGCTAGGACTGGATCTGTGAGCGAAACATATATTGAAATCCATTGAGGATTATATACAAAAGCCATTGAACACTGAAGACAGCTACTGCCTCGTCTTTGCCTTTGTTGGATGGCCCCAGCGCCCATCACCCTAATCACAGCTCCACCAGCAGAAAGGGCGATGTATTACACAGAATATCTGGGAGGGATTTGGTTTTCATCTCTACTGGTCCGTTATGCTAAAGGTAGCAATTGGTATCTCACAATCTAATAGGTAACGTAAGACTATAGAAAGCACTGTGGTCATGTAGGACTACGAAATATACTTATTACCAATTTGAAGAGAACCGTCACAGTTTGAATTTTGGGCACAACCATTTGCTCAACAAGCCGAATCAAACTAAAGTCAATACAGCGAAAGCAAAGGAAAAGAATTGACTTCCTTTGAAGTGAAACTTTGAGTGCAGGTTCGGTGGGACAGACTGGCATGAGGTATCCCCTGATATCCTCTCTAGATAGCTAGTGGTAGAGTGGCTGCTACCTCAACCAGATTGAAATCGTGGCGCCTTTTCCCATGTCCTCCAGATAAGCATCAAGATATCTCTATAAGAGGCCCAGTGTACACCTTCCTTGCTCGGACAAAGTAGTAAATAAGGCTAAGTATAATAACCCCCATCGTGCCAACAATACTATAGTTCATCGTCTGTGTATTGACATCCTTAGTTGTAGGCCAGAAGCCAAAGAACGTAGCGATTGTCATGTAGGCCAGGGAGAAGACATTGATGGTTATACCCAGAATGCCGGGAACTCGAAATGGACCCCAGACCAGCCTAGCGCCTGCCGTGTTGATCATCGTCTGCTCGCCAGCAGTCGCGTTCCCAATCCCACCCGTACAACGGCGGTACAGCAAGAGCCCTCCAGAAGTCATATATGATAGGTAAAGACCCGAAATCGACATGGATACCAAGCTGTTGAACGCCACGTCAGAGCCGATAGTGATGAGATTCAGGAGGCATCCGACAACGGCCGTAAGAAGGACTGCATATGTTGGGATGGATGTACGTTCAGTCACCTATTGAGGTTTCAGTTTGAATCAACAGGGTAATCCTATGTTTAAGAAGAGCTACATACCTTACTCCACATCCGCCATCCAGGAATCCCTCGGTCGCGAGAGAAGGACCAGAATTGACGTGATGCCGCTGTTAAGGTGCCAATCGTATTACAACTGCCCAGAGACATTACCAGAGCACCTGCAATTGCCGTGCCGGATACGGATCCGGTTGCCTGCAGGAAGATAGCAAAGAAAGGTACACCTGTCGGGGATTCAAGCGCAGATTGAATATCACCGAGACAGAAATATAAAGCGATCATCATTCCAAATCCCATGGACCCATTGATTAACACTGTTAGCATCAGCGACAGGGGAACAGCGGTTGTTGCATTGGCCATCTCTTCGACCATCTATGGCTCGACTGTTAGCAGATTATTTGCAATGAAATAACCATAGTTGACATACATGGACCGCAGCGTCACCGCCAGCGAAAGCGAACACAGGGCCAGTCAACCCGACAAAGACTGACAGCGCCTTCGAAGGCCAATTGCCTTCGTTGATGAAATAGGTAAATACTTCTTCGGCGGACGACTTATGATCTGCCATGTAGGTCAAAGGAACCAGGATGGCGAAAAACCCCAGCACATGAAAAATTAAAATGGTGCCCTCAAAACGGGGCAGAAACTTGCCGCCGACAATATTGATGATCGCGGAGAGTACAGAGAGTCCCCATGCATACAGAGCTTTCCGCCATGGATGAGGGACATAATCCGACCTGGTAAGGATAATAAGGGCTTGGACCATGTTCCCGTTCAGATACATTGCGGATGCGAATGTGGCTTGCCATCCGATCACGGTAAGCCAACCTATCCTTGGCGTAAATATCCCAACTCTCGACAGCACTTGCGTTTCCTTAGGAAGACGTACCAGTCATGTAGCTAGCCAGCTTCATTGCCGATGGAGGGGCCAGCATCGAACACCAATGATACTGCCCGCCGGACGTGGGAGCCCTGTCGCTCATCTATCAGCACACTTGAGGTGCGCACCCCTACTGGAAGCTTACATGGACACAAGCTCAGATATCACGACAAAGGTGGCGGCGATACCAGCCCAGACGAAAAGATATCCATAGACAGAACCAGCCGGCCCGCCACTGGATCTAGGTCAGTAATCAATTCAACACACGTTGATGCAGCGGAGGTAAAGTACTTTTGAAAGGATTGCAGAAACAATCTGTTGGAAGAGCTCTAATCTTAGCCACGAGGTCAACACCACGCAGGGTCGAGGATGACTTACATGATATACCCCTCCCATGTGACCAACAGCGTGCAGCTGAATCCCACCATGGACATCAACCCAAAGTTTCTCTGTCGATTGATGGTCTTAGCACATCTGCTGTCGAAGGGATATATAGAGGCACTTCACCTTTAGAACAGGGCGCTTCCCCATACGAGTCAAATACACGTCATCCTTATCTCGGTAGATCGGTTGTCCCTCCATCTCGCTCAGCACAGGAGGCGACATTTGCTTCAGTTCGTGCATGGACATGTTGGAGAATTCGACTGTATAATCCCAATCGATATACACATACGAGCACACAGAAAACCGAACAATCAATCATGGAACTCTTCCATGGAAAGACCCGAGAAAGAGAAACAACGGCAAAAGCAGGAACAGAGACCCAGAGATTTACAACAGCTCTGGCCTAGCCTGCGCGTAGCTGGTCATCATAGGACATGGATCTCGGATTCCTTTCCGTGAACCCTGCTGTACTGTACAACTAGCAATTACACTAGATTAAACAGTCGAGGGGTTTCTGCGAATGACATGATATGTCTGACAGACTATTAACCAAGACCGAGCACCTGTGGAGGCGAGAACGCAACCTAACAAGGGTCCAATGGAGGACAGGTCCAATTAAAGTCCGAGATCGCATTTGTTGCCTCGGTCGCAGGTCAGGATGCACCGGGTGTGGAGATCAGTGCGTTGGATCCGCTTTTGACGGGTTGATAACCATGTCTCCGTTGCGGGTATGCCCTCCCGCCGGACAGGGAATAACCAGTTTAGTTTCCTACATACTATAATGATCTACAATT